GAAAATAATAGATTTTCATGGGATAAACAAATTATTGACAGAAAAAATTATTCTAAGCAAAGTTTTAGTAAACAATACCCTCTCTGTATATTCTAGAAATGCTTACATAGGATAAGATAAAAAAAGTTAGACTTTGAAAAATGTATGGGAAGTTTTGAAGCTAGTTATTATTGGAAATATTGTTTGGGACATGCCAGGAAAATGACATTTTGATATTCAATTAAATTTCGTAAGTATACAAAACAGTCAATGCTAGTGCAAAGTCATTTTGAAATGCTAACAGCAATGCTATTTGTTAATTTTTTTAAGAAAAAGTTCTTTTAGTATTATAGTATTAGATCTTGGAGCAAGGGACAGTGAAATGTCATGTTTCGTGAGAATCACCCATATATATATTCCCTGAGAGTGAGAAAGAAAGTAATTTATTTCTATTTGAAAAAATATTCTCAAATTAAAATGAGGGATTGCACAGCACTAATTATACAACTTATTACATTCTAGCGAAGAGAAAAGTTTTCTTTTGTTAATCTCTATTTTTGTTCATATAAGAGCTCAATTCTTATGCCTTGAAATTATTATACTGTCCAACAACTTTAAAACTACTAGCATTGTGTCTTATGAGTGTAAAAGTATGGAAAATTGTTGATACTTTTTTATTAACTATCTAAAACTTACTTGGATTTAATTTAAAAGTTTCTTGATTTATTTTAATTTTATTCGGAATGTCCTATATGCCCCTTTTAGAATAGAGTAAATAGGATTACTTCATAAAGATGTTAAAAGTTTAGAGCAATTATTAGTTACTCACATATTTTTCCTGGAACACAGATCCTTCAGAATTAACAAGTTTAGGACAGATGTCTTATTCAATTTACAAACTACGTAGACCGATTTTGAGTTTACGACTACCAATTTTTATCTCTCTTGTAATTTTGATTCCAATCCAGAGGACAAAGAGTCTCGTGAATCAAGTACTGGGAAATACTAGCCCTCGTGGAGGATTTTTGATGGAACTAACCCCCATTTGCATTATATGGGCAGGAAAACCACAAAAACCTTCCATGGTTAGCCTGACGGCAAGGAGACTTTAACCCGTCATATATCTACCACAGAGGAATATTTTTACGTAAGCAGTGTGGTCGGTCCGAGCCGGGTACAGAATTCGTATCAACCAACCATCTCTGGGATTCGAACCTGGGTTGCATCAGTGGGAGGCGAGTGATTTGAGTGCTCCACCATGGCCCTGAGAACAGATATTACTTGAACTATTATTTAATTACTCATTCTTGTATAAATTATATTTGCTAGTTCCCTACAGAAGAACCTTGGCTGATTTAAAATTGTTAAAAAAAATGCCTTTTGTTTCATGTGTTTTATTGTTTTTTATGCTAATTTTATTTTTCGATTGTCTTGCATGAATAAATTAAATATCAACTTATATATAAGTATAGCAGCTTTTTAACTTATGTCTTAATAGATAATAGTTAAATAGTTATAGATAAAAGATAATTCTAAGGAAATATATGTTAATATAATTAATGTATAATATAATACTTTGAAGTTATAAGGTAATACTATAACGGTATAATTTAATAGCATAAAAGTTTAGTCTTTAATATAAATGAATAAGTTAATGCTATATATATGAGATAACATCATAAATTCCTACGTAGTTACTATAAATGTGTAAGTTAATGCAATATATAAAAGATAATATCATAAATTCATACGTAATTACTATAAATGTGTAAGTAAATGCTGCAAATGAGTAATTTAATACTATTTATAGCCTGAAATATATAGGTAAAAGTTTTATTATTCTAGAGGTATAAATTAAAACTATAAAGAAGTAATTATTTTATAGGTACAATAAAATACCATTAAGTGATAAGTTAAAACTACGATCGCATAAGTTAGTATAAGTATAAGTACAACAAATAAATATTACTGTAATGAGTAGTAAACTTGAATACAATTTATATAATGTACTATATTTCTTAAAAAGGGCAAAATATTAAGAACTGAAAAATCAGAATCAATAAACTTTCAGTTTTTAATACTTTTACTACTTGCATTCTAATAAAAATGTTACTTTTCATTTACTTCTATTATCTTAAATTAATTCATTTATTTAAGTTAAATAATAGTTTTTATAAATAGAAATTTATTATAATAACTTTAGGTGTACATCATTAAATACACGCATTTAAAATTTTATTAGACTTTCGCTTCAAAAGAATTGCAGTGAAGTAATTGAAGAAAAAGTTTAATATATACTTTATAATTTTATTCAAGATAAAAACAAGAAAGTTTTATTTGCATTTTTACTTCTTTCCTTTTTCATTGCTAATGGCAAAACTTTCACCGGAAACTCCATCTTTTACGAATTTCAAACAAACATCTATCATTTTTGGTTAAGTACATATTCGATTGCAATAACTCACAATGTTTTATTATACATATGAAACACGAAGTTGCCAAAGGCAGTTTTATTAATGTCTGAATGTTGAATGAAAATGTAATTTATCTTTTTTGCGAAACTCATAAAGAAATGCATTTATTTAATAAGATTTGTATTTTAGAGAGTAGAATTTCTAGGCAAGTCAAAAATATATTTTAAAGAGAATCGTGGAAAAGGAAATAAAAAAATTTCGCCGAAAAGCAGCAAAATTTTATATATAATATTTTTTGTTGCGAAGGAAATTTATCAATTTGTTTCTAATGGATTAAAATAATTTTTAAACTTTGTAGTTGAGAAAAAATTATTCATTCTTATTTTTAAAAAAAATCAATTTTTGTAAGTGAAGAATGTTTTTAAAGCCTCTATCACAGATATTTGAGCCACAGGGGCTCAGGGGATAGAGCAGTAGTCTCCCTATTAGGTGACCTATGATCGAATCCCTCGTTTTCATCCCTCATGTTCCTTTGATTTTAAATTGTATTTCTTAATAAATAGTTTTAGAGCCTTAGCGGCTCAAGGATTAGTGCACTCGCCTCCCAATAAAGTGACCCGGATTCGAATCCCAGTGATACCTGGTTGAAACAAATTCCGCACCCGACACGCTAAGACCAACGTGCTAGCGTGAAATATCCTTAATGATAGAATGATCATATATTCGAATTCCTTTCTAGTCAGTCTAATCATAAGAGATATTCGTGGTTTTTCTTACCATGTAACGCAAAAGCTGGTTAGTTCGATCAAAAAGTCCTTCCAAAAGGCGAAATTTCTCCCAATAACTTAATCCAGGACTTCTTTCGTTTTCTGCATTGGGTTCAAAATAACAAGGCTACGCAGTTGAACATTAGTAGTCTCAAACTCAAAAATCGTGTCGGCTGTTCAACGACGGGTATAAGATTAAAAAAAAATATCATAGGTATTTGAAATTTTAAATTAATAAAACTGAATACTATAAAATGTCTTATGGATGGTTAAAAAGTTCTGAAGTTTTTTTTATCCCAATAATATGTTTCCTAAACAACGGAGATTATAAACTCTCTTAATGTTTACTAAATGAAGAAATTGAATCAAATCCAGCTATATTCTACTGAGAAAGTTTTGAATTCATCTAATCGCTAATTAAGCTAACTGAAGTTACTGCAATAAAGGATTATTTTAAACCAATACTACAAATACCAATGTAATTCTCCCGTAGTTGGTACTATATTTTAATACGAAAAAAATCTCGAAAATTTCTCTTCCTCGAGTAAAGAACTTTTTCTCTAAAAGCAACTATAATTTAATTGATATCGAAAAAACATTTCATTTTTTGTAAATTAAATCTTGATCAAGTTTATTTGCTTCATTAAACTAAATTATACACAAAAATCATGTTTAGGAAGTTTTATTTACGTGTAAGGTTAAAATGAATTCAATGATTTTTTTGTAAAAAATTGAAGGTGATTTTTACGCAATAGTCTTAAAATATTTAAGACATTAATGAAAATCCATCACTGCGATTGTAAGTCTTTTACAGTGAGCCTTTGTTACCATTAATTTTCATTACTAAATTAAATATAATTTCTAAGTTTCAAAGATTTCACAACCATTGTTTTTTCAGGAATTATTTTCACAGATTACATCCTAATTAAATTATAGGAAGCAAATGAACCTTGGCGACGTCTTAAAAATAACATATTAAGTTATCACTGTTACAAGTTTCTCGGATTGGAAAAAATGGTTGATTGAATTGTTATTTTATCATATTTAAACAAAACAGTCAAATAACCTAAAATTAAATAGTATTCTAGCTGTAAACTATTAGAATAACCGTTTATTAACTGCTTTCACCTAATACGATAAAACCAAAAATTTAGCACACCAACTAGGCCCTTCTAATAAAACTTTGCAGCTAGGTACATATTATAGTCGATGGGGCTAACCTGTCAATGACACCGACAGAACAGGAGTTCGAATTCCAGCGTTAACACCACAATATTTCCCCGATTCCTTTCAGCACATGAAGAGTTTTCAGTTTCCTGTATTCCTCAATTTGTGACCTTGTACTATTAGAATACGATACTTTAATCCACGTACAGATGGCAGCACCGTTAAGTTGCTTAGCACAAAAACGTCTAATATTTTCAATCTCTTACGATAGGGAAATCAACCTGATAAATTAATTTAAGTACATTCCACGGTTCCTTTGATAAAACACAACTGACCCCAATCTAAATTCAATGCCCATTACGTTACGAAAAGCCCAGCTTCAAGGTCCAGTTAAATTTTTTCTTCACTGTTTTGTAACCATGCTAGTTGTAAATGGCTAAAAAACCGCAAAGATTTGTATTTATTCTTTTCAATCATACACGTTGTAAACGATTTCAAAACCGTAAGGGTAAAAATTTTCTTCACTGTTAACTTTATGGGCTAATCGGATAGACAAACTGCTACCGGTTATTTTACAGTACTCTTAGAATGAATATTTTAAGAATGTGTTTAATTCTCAAGAGATATGTAAGAAAAACTGTATTTATTTTAGATTACAGGATCTTATGCTTACCTCAAATGTATCGTCCCTTTGAACAAGAGGATGACAATGTGAATAATCAGATCGCGAAGCCCATGTTCCATTTGAGTGGCATTCACGAGTTGCATTTTCTGTAAATAAAACAAATAATCTAAAAGTAATAAATGTAAAATTATTTGATAAATTATACACTAATACGTAATTTTTAGAAGCATTTGCTTTTTGAAATTTTGTACCCATGAAGTACACTTGTTAACAATACCATATATTTATTGAATTACGATGTTGAATAATGATATTACCACCCATCTCTTAAAAGAAATTTTATACAATTAGTTTTCATTATAATGTTAAAAAAATACTATTGTTATAATACTAAACATTTTTTGTCATAGTCATGCAAATACTTGGTCTTGCTAATTCGGGTGAGGAGCTCTGATATCAAAAATTCGCTTTGCTTCTAAATCCACAGATTTTTTTTAAATGAAACTTTTAAGTCTATTTTTTGTCGAAATATATGAGCTTATTTCTGTTCAAAAAAATTATTATCAAGGTTATACCTTTAAACAAGATACACTAATGGCGTTTCAATTTGAACATTTGAAATAAATATATATATATATATATATATATATATATATATAGTGGGC